AGAAAGAAAGAAAGAAAGAAAGAAAGAAAGAAAGAAAGAAAGAAAGAAAGAAAGAAAGAAAGGAAGAAAGAAAGAAGAGAGGGAGGGAGAGAAAGAAGGAGGAAGGGGAAGGAAGGAAGAATAGATTCAGGCAGGTAGGTTCACACATTGCTGATAAGAATGTAAAATCATGCAGTTGATATGGGATGACCTGGTTTGGAAGCTCTACAAAATGCTAGCATTACTGTATGTTCAGCAACTCTCTTCCCAAAAGGAATAAAGCTTTGTATCCCCAGATACTTGTGGCACAACTGCTCTTAACACTAGCATTGATAATAGCCAATATGTAAACAGCTTCCATGTTGAACAGCTAATGCACAGATAAACCACACACAGCATGTCCACACAACGGGAAATTATTTCACAATAAAAGGAACAAAGTATCTGCATACCCTCTTACATATAACATGCAAACATGTTTAGAATGAGCCTGCAAAACATTCAGCAAAGTGACACAAGCTTGTCTCAAATGGACACATGTTATATGGGGCTACTTATGTGAAGTGACCAGAATGGAACACACCATGGATACACAAAGCAGATCTGTGTTTGCCAGGGTTAGGGAATGTAGACTAGAGAAGGACTCACCTCAGAAGCCTCTTCTCCAGATGATGAATGGACTCTGATTTTGGAAAGTGGTAGCAACTTGACCACCACCATACAAATATAGCCAAACCCACTGAACTGTGTTTAAAAGGCAGATTGTATGTCGTGGGAATTGTAGCTTAATGGTGTTGTTTAAAAATGAAGGAAAAAAAGTATGTTAGGGGTTAAGGGTGTAGCTGAGGGTCAGAGCACACATTTTGTTAGAGGGCTCTGCAACTCATTCCCAGAATCATACAAAAGTAATAATCACAGTGTACACAGAAAAACATGTAAAAATAGTAGAATGATCCCTTAGCCTCGTTTGATCCTTGTCACTTATGAGTTAGTTGGACCACATGTCACAGAGTTTAAATCAGACTGTCCAGTAACTGGCATTTAGCATCAAGAAAAGAAAAGTCTCAAACTATACCTTCTGAGCAAGCTCAGAAATTACCTGGGAGGCTGACCCTCAAAAGTTGGCGGTGGGACTGAGCATAGTCAACGATGTTTTTCTTCTGTGCACTGGGGAGATACTCTCATGTGACTCTGGGGTCTCTGGTCATTGTTTTCATGGCTTCCTAATTTTAAAATTCTTTGATTATGAAACAACGAAGGGGTAGTAAGCCAACTCCACAGAAGGCATTAATGCTCATGTGCAATTCTTGAAGTTAGAGTTCTATACTCTTTTAATGTAATATACATAATAGAGTTCTATCTCAGAACACTGAATAAAAATAGAAGACATGGAGAAAGTCACTCTATACAGCTGCACAACAGTGGGAAAGATGTAAACACCTGTCAAGAACATTATCATCCCACTATGAATGAGCAAATGATGTAACTGTGATATTAATCTCATTAGAATCTAGACGATTCCTCTTTGTGCTCTGCTCTTGACCATTTCTTTTCCAGCTTTCTTGTATTCTTTTAACAAGTATTTACCGAGCACCTATCTGGTATCAAGAATAAACGAAGCAGACGAAAATGAACATTCCTCAGCCTCAGGAGTTGCAGTCTAGTATGGAAAGCAGCTGAGGAAGGAATGCTCCACTAAGTCATAAGTGTATATCGTTGATTTCATGGCAATATTACAAACCACTTTGTCATGGCCAGTGCTGTTAACATGATGGAATCTGGGATTACCTAGGAGACACACCTCTCAGGGAGTCTATGAAGAGGTTTAAGTAAGGGGAGCAGAGCTGCACTAAATACAAGAGGAGCTATCTTGGGGGGGGGGGCGTCCTAGGCTGAATAAAAAAGAGAAAAAGAAAAAAAAAAAAAACAATGTCTGTCTGATGATCCAGTTGTCCTATCAAATAGCTCAGCTTTCACAGACCATCCCCAGTTCGCGTTGGAAGAAGACAGACCGCCATCATACCTCTTCACTGCTGGTGGACTCAGATGTGGAGGCCCAGCGGCAGTGAGCCCACACGTCCTTCACCTGTCCCTTGAACATTTGCACGGTGCTCCTGCAAGCAGCTGTTGGCTAGAAAAGGCAGAATCATGAGCTGTTTCTCAGCACCCTGTGGGAGGGGTTATTCTCTGGACAATAAACTGGGAAGGACTGCAGGGCTTGCAAAATGAGGCAGAAAGGAGAAATTCACAGGGGTGGTTCAGTTTTCTGAACTGAACACACTGCAGAACTAAACAGCAATAAAAGGAATGTTTAAGTATCTCCGTGAGTTTAATACCAGTCTCTGAGAAAAGCCTGCCTTTACTCATGAGTACAAAGGGCAGTTTGGAATCCATTGTTGCTTTAACAGAAACAAGTGGTAGACATGACATATATTTGACTCTATGGCATATACACACACACATACACAAATGCACACACAGATAAGTCAGAAGTGCATGCATGTGACAGTCCTCTGTAAAACAAAATCCCACTGAAATTATTTCTTTTGTAATGAGACCTCAGAAAGTCACTCATTTGGCTAAACATTCTGGGTCTGGACTGATGGTTCCATTTTGCTTAGAGAGGGTTCTATCCCACAATAGCTGACTATTGTGGTCACTGGGCATGCAGAAATAAACATGCCATGTGCCAGAATGAGAAGGGGAGATGCCCTGTGGGCAACAGTCAATCATTGACAGTGTACCAAAGCTAGGCTCACAGTTCACACTCAGATTGAACAGAGTTCCAAATGCATTGAGACTTTTCTTGGCTGTAGGCCTCTTTGCATTCACTATGCCTGATACAAACCATTCCACCTTATGAGAAGGCTATGCTACCTCCTGGAGATTTCATCTGTACTTTAAAGAATAGGACACTGGAGCAGAAAGGGTTATAAAACCACCCAATATCACCAAAGACTGCAGATTCCACAGTTCAAGAGCTCATTCCCTCACAGCCCATGTCAGGAAATACTATAATGGCCCAGTGTGTGGCCAAATGCCATAGAGCAGTGGCCAAACTCCTTGGGTGACTCTTGATCTGTTCATGGTCATGGAAGTACTGAGGTTCTCCCTTGCATTACATTCTGTGTCACTTACCGCATAGTAGCCCCTTTGGAATGTACAGGTGGAGGGATCATTAGAATCTCTCGGGCATTTAGTTTCCCGAACACTGAACTCTAAGTTCATGACCAAGGTGTCTTCATCCAGGACGTTGACCTTCATAAAATCAAAACATGGATTTGCATCAGAGGTGTCTCTGAGGTTCGTGGTGCCATGATTGTTCCTGCCCAACGAGAAAACACTGACAGACTCACCTACGCATTGGGAAAGCTATGTGTTGTCTTGGCATCTGTGCAGTGGCATGCACTCACATTGAAGCCCATAGGGGAAAGCCATGCAACACTGACAATGGTAGAACCAAAGAAGCTGAGTGGGGGGGGCACCCCTCTAATCCCAGGACTCAGAAGGCCAAGGCAGAAGGTTCCAAGCTTGAGGCCAACCTGTGCTACAGAGAAAGGTCTTGTCCCAAAACAACAATAAATGGAATGGAGGTAAGGAGGGAGAAAGAAAGGGAGGGAGGAAAGAAAGGGGGGAGGTAAGGAAGAAAAGAAAGAAGGAAGGAAGGAAAGAAGGGAGAGAGGAAAGAAAGAATGTATGCCTTCACGCCAATGCCAACGTTGCTTTTAAAGATTTACATTGACAGTTCCTTCCCAGTACTCGTAGAGCCCATACTTGTGAACTCACCTAGTCACCAAATATTATTTGGAACTCCTAAATTAGAGGCAAAACTTTGAGTCACCCAATGCGGATGTCCCCAACTAAAGGGAAGGAAGAGGCAAGGTGCTCTGCCTTCTGCATTGTGAGCAGGGAAACTTGTGATTGGCATTTTTGTGCCTTCTTTGGGTCATCTTAGTCCCCAAGCTAGTGCTAGCAGCTGTCTGGCATCAAGAGCAAGAGATTGTGATATCCCTTATGTAGAAAACACATGCATTCAATAAAAGTTTTTTGAGTGGGAATCTGAGGTCTGTGGGCAGTGGGTTCAATGCAAATGAATCTACAACATGTATTATATTAGGTACCAATAAGTAGAAATTCACAAAAAAAAGGTTACATATTAAATGTATCAATGAAAGTATTGTGCCCCAAAGCTCTTGGCAACCTCATTATGAATCTCTCCTAGGAGCTGTGATCTAGTCTTTGCATGTTCAGTCTAGAAAACAGCAAGAATAGAGTAATGGGCTTGTAGTGATATTTTCTTAATGAAGGCACCACACATGTCTACCAATTTGTAAAATAAGTAAATGAGCCACAGGCTATCTCCTGGTTGAGTACTTTTGACCTATGACTAAATCTACATCGTTCTCTAATTCTTTCTACCAAGGGTGGCATCCAGAGGAAATTTTCACACTTCCTGAATAGCCTGGGTGGTCTGAGGACAGTGGATGTTGCAATGTATCAAGCCCTTCCCTGTGCACCAGGCAGCTGAGACAGACTGCAAAAGATGTCAGGCAGGTGTGATTCCAGAGTGAGTACCACCCCACAAATGCTTGCAAGAAAGTTAAACAAGACCATTCGGGTAGTACATGCTAAAGAATGTCAACCCTCATGTGGTCATGGGGGAGAAGGGAGGAAGCAGATGAGGTGTAAAAAGACTCAGAAGAACCTTCCAGAAGAGGAAAAAATGTAATCATAGACTCAAAGGTTGGGGGGAGGGGTTATTGTCTGAGGAAAAAGCAGAGCCCAGTGTCCCAGGACAAAGTCTGTGTCATGTTGTCAGAGCAGTGTGAAAAGGGGAAAATCGTTTAGTGCAGTGTTGGAGAGGTGGGAAATGTCAGGCAAACCATGAAAGTCTCTAAAGAGTAAGACACCAGCCCAGGCTTCTTTTCACCCACAGTGATTTCTGTTGCCAACTGTACTTAGTCATACCCTCAGCATTCTCTCTCAAACACATATTTTCATTCTTTCCACAAGCAGGCTAAAGGGCCAGGGATCCCAGGATCATGCATTCTGCTTCTTTACTAATTACAAACTCTGTCTTTATGTTAATTATCCCTCCTCTCATTTGACTGCAAACAGTCAAAAGAAGCCTTCCACACTTTACCACCTTCCTGTTTCTTCTCTCAGATATCTTAGTTCCCTGGTGGGGTTGTACGGAGATGAAGAGAAAAAAGGCCACCCTGACTTGTGAGGGAGTCTGAGTAGGTTCCCCTCACAGAGGAACACCACACTGGGGAATAGCATAAAGGCATTTTGCAGAAACTGTGGGGGTCCCATGTCCATTTCCTGTGACATTGTGGAATGCAAGGTCAAGGAAAATTCAGGGAAAATGCAGCTTGACCAATATATGATGGGGGTGAGGTGGAAGAGTAACACAGAGACAGTGTCACATTTAAAATCTGTTAGGGTCACACGCGTCACCTGTAAGTGGCTTATCTTTAGGTACATGTGCCTGGGTTCAGACCTGCATGGCTATAGCAAGATGGCCACATGTCAGATTATACTGCGTTAGCCATGTCTCACTGGATACCTGTCCACAGTGTCCTGTCTTAGTTCTCTTTGGACCTGTCCTTGTGCTCCTATTTAATGAATTGTTTTGTTCTGTAGTGAGCAATACTTAAATTACAAGTGAATTTAAACTGTCGATCCGTAAGTTTGGCAAGAGGATGTGGGTTCTATAACATTCTAGGAGGATTGCATCCAGCGCCAACAGAATGTGGCCTGGGTGCCAGCAAAAGCAGGGTGGGAGGAAGAGGCAGCTTCATTCCGATGAGCGTTCTTCCAGAAGCAGTTTGTCCTTTTGGCTGGCAGCTGCCTATGCCCACCTCCAAGTGCCTCCCCGTGAGAATGTGCAGTGTGAACTTTGACAGTCAGGTACGGCGCTGGCGCCTGAACTTTAGCTCAGCCCACACTTTCCCCACCAGTTACCCCGCCAGAAAGACATGAAGCTGTCAGTGAATTTGCTTTGCGTTTGGAAAAGAAAAATGAAGCCAGTGTCTGAAAAAGGGGACCGATGGGGCATGGTCTACTGGAAGGCAGTCTGGGAAATGGAGTGTGTACTCTGCTGAGTCTCAGAGGAGCAGCTGAGTGTGAGAGGTGGGGGCCTAGAGTAGGGTGGAGAAGGGAGAGGCCAGTAGAGACTATGGTGGCTGTGTGGCTTCTGTGGAGGTAGTGGCTGTCTGGCCACCTGGTCACCTGGCCACTCTTGTCTACATAAGCTTGGCTTCTCTATTTCTTCCTCATTTTTGCCCCTACCTTCCTGTGAGCCTGACTAAGGCAATAAGAAGACAGTGAAATTTCTTAGGGAGCAGGAAGGAGCGAGACCCCCCTATCATTCTGCTCCATTTCCCCCTCATTTTTGCCATGCTAAAGCATGGCAAGCCCAAGAGAGTGTCCCTTTCCCCAGTCCTCTGGGTGATCAAGGAAAACAGAACTATCTAGTTGATGAAAGCAGGTGGGTTTCTTTCCTGTAAACACTGGGAGCCCAACACTGGGTGGGAAGAGAGGCTCCTGACCAGGCAGCACCTCACAATCAGTCAGGAGGGCTTTGGGGCTCCTCACGCAAAACCAGGACACACACAGAGAGAAGCCAAGGTCAGAGGGAAAGCAGAGAGGGAAGAATCAGATGCCACAAGAAGCCTGGGGACAAAACACACACACACACACACACACACACACACACCACACACACACAAAACAACAAAACCTTGTAATTAAATCTCTTCTCCATACAAAAAGTAGCATGAACTAGGACCAGCTGTGATCTTTGTAAACAGAAAAATGAAAACGTTTTACTCAACGAAGTAAGCAAAGACAAGACAAGGACAGTGAGGAAGGCCAGGGAAGGTGCCCCATCCACTCACCCTCTTCAAGGAGCTGCGGGTGTCCCGGAACAGGTAAGGACTCATGGACTGCGAGTTCACCTTTGCTACAGAGGCACTGAGGGCTTCCCGCAGGGAGGAAGGGTCGTAGTCGTACACCGGAAAACCTGCACAGGCCACAGTGAGAGGAGCACAATGAGAGAGGAGCGGAAAGGGCCGCGATCACCTAGGGCACGCCGCGGGGCACGCGTCCTTTACCTGAGGCACACCGGTAGTGTATTCCCAGCGCCACCATAACCAGCATCCACAGCACTGCCTGCTCCATCCTGAGAGCTATGAGCCAGAGCCTGGGAGATGGCCTCTCTCTGGGCTTCAAGACGGCAAAGGCGGCTGAGGGCGGCTGGCTTATCCTTGTCCCCTGCGACCCGGTTGCCCTGGTTGGCTGGAGCAGTCTGGAACTTCAACAGAGATGACTGACTCCCGTGTCAATATTTACTGCTGACTTTTCCTGTGGAAAAATCCCAGGTTGAGTCCACTTTTGAAGTTTGGACCTCTGCAAAGGACTTTAGACCACAGCAGGAGACATTCAGAGAGGCATGCGTCTCCCTGTAGGATGTTTTTCTCTCTTCGCATCTCATTCTTTTGGGGGAAGGGAATGCAATTGTAGACTCAATAAAATGGTTGTGTATTTATTCCTTCCCAGGTCTTCAAAATCCTCTAGCCTCAGTGCCAGCCTACTCCCTGCCATGTGCAGGCTGCACACGCAGGGCGATTTTGCCTGTACGCTTAGCTCTGCCTGCCACCTCCAGTACACCACAGGGGCCGTGATTCGGAAACCACAATGGCCATGCTTGTGATACGGAGTGTAATGAAGTATGTGTTGAATGAGTGAGCGCATGAACACAGCAGGTCTCACTGATCTGTGTCTCGGCCTTTCAGCTGGCGCTAACTTCTGGTGTATAACAAGTACTCAGAGCCCGACGCTACGAGACAATGACCAACTAAACTTTGTAATTCCATTACTTTTAACCTGGTTTGAACTCAATTCCATTAGAGTCTTCCAGATTGAGCTAACGTCACCATCTGGCTGAAACACTCCGGTCTCATTAAATGAACTGCAGTAATAAAAGCAATTGCAGATGAACGGAGGAGGGGAAGGAGACAACAATAGAATCGTGTTGCCAGCACAGGGCTATTGATTTTGCTTGACACTTGCTGGGGTGAGGAGGGAGGGCTGGGTTTCTCAGGTTCTCTTGGCTATAATTAAGCGTTAGCACCAGGCGTGCAGGGTGGGCTCTGATGAGAGCTAAGGAGCAATGATTTTAAAATGCCCCTGCAGAATTCCATCATGTCTTGTAAACCCAGAAGATTAAAGATAAGCCATCCAGACACGCTTGTGCTGTGGTGATTTCTTGTTCTTCCTCCAGTCGACAGAAATGTATGCCAGGATCATCCGAGCAATTTTCTGCTCTTCCAACCCCAAATGCTAGGCCAAGGTATTAAAAATTAGGTGGCACTAAGTGAAGCATTTATAGCTTTTTGCACATAGTCCCTGGAAAATTGTGTAAAGTACATCACAGGCCATTTAACAGGAGCACCTAGGAACACACTGAGCAAGGACGGATGAGCGGCTGCTGCGTCATAAACGAAGATGGATAGCCTCCATTTTTTCCAAGGTCGTTTCCTTTTCCTTATCTCTACTGTCAAATTATTTGCACAGGGGTGGGATCACTAAATTTAGAACAAATGTAAAAATGGAATCTTCAACTGATCCCCAAACCACAGACTTCAGACTTCACAGCTGCCTTCTAATTTCTTGTATCATCATGATTTCTAAACTAAGCTCCATACCCAAGAGTCTGCTTGCTGGCCTCATCTCAGTATTTCTGGGTTCAGTGGTGCCTTCAGGATGGTCATCACATAGCATCAAAGCCCACAGACAGCCTCAGCACCACCTAGGACTTTGCTTCGTCTATACCCACCCAGAAGCACCCAATAGAGACTCCAGAGAGATGACCAAACGGCCTTTATTTGACAGACCTTCCTGCCCCCACACTCACCCCCCTCCCACACACACACATATACACTCCAGGATGGAATTCAGATCTGCACCCATGCCTGAGACATGCTAATATAGAACAGAGATTCTCAGCCAGGAGACTTTGCCCACACAAGTGTTATGGCTTGAATATGAAATGCCACCCACCACCCCACTAAACCACTACCCCACCTGGCTGATGCCATAGACCCTTGTGTACTAGGCTTCTAGAGGCAAGGCCTACACAAAGGAAGTGCCTCCAAGGAGGTGGACCTTAATGAACACATCTCTCTGTGTTCCTGGCCTCCTTAACAGGGGCAACTCTGTGCTTCCACGATGCCCCTCTCACCACGTTCTGATGGACCATAGGCAACTCAGTTCTTACGAAAATAAAGACTTTGAGGAAACTTCTTGCTGTTTGTTTACACAGTAGCTGCATCGTTTTGCCTCCTGATTAACAATGTTCAGAGTGTCCACAGATCCTAGCCAATACTTGTCATTTTCTCTTCTCTGGATAATGGCCATCTTAACAAATGTCAAGTGAAACCCCACTCTGCCTCCCACTTGCATTTTCCTCATGATAGGACCCCCATTAATCTGGTTTGAGTCATTTGAATCCTTTAGTTAGGCTAGCTAAAAACTTGTCATTTCATGTTTTCCAGTGGTATCACACAGTGAGGCTATTTCCATTGTTGTTCTAGTCTCTCTGTTTTTGCTTAGGTCTGCTCTGGTCTGCATCGCTTCATTCCTTCAGCTGATTTCTAGCATGATTTTTTGCTAGTTCCTTGAACTCTAAATTTAAGCATTTAGAGAGGAGCTGATTCTATCAGCACCCAAGATTAGCAAAACCCAAATAATCCCTCAGTCAGAGCATTCACACAGCCACAGTATTTGCTATCTTTTCCTGCTCTGAATCCCCAGATAGAAACTAGAAGTTAGGTTTTTCCTCCCACCTATTTATTGTTCTGTGTAGGGGACAGGAGTGGGGAGGAGGGCTTCCTACAACTTGACTATTGACTTCTAAACAGCTGGCTTCATCTTCATGGAGGGGCCAGACCCCTTCACTAACTCTAGCCATTCTTGTGGAAGGAACTCACTATAAATGAAAATGGAAAAGAAGCTATGTCTGCAGAGACAAATTGACTGATTAGAAGTTCAGCACTGTAGAGAGATTGGAATATTACAGGTCTAGAATCTAATTATCTCATCTTGGGCTAGCTTTAGCCCCTGGACAGGCCATTCTTTGCCCAAATCTATGTCTGTGACTATTAAGTAATAACATTTTGAAATCTCTTGACTTAGCTTCCACTAACCCAGAAGCTAAGAATGGCATCAGATGGCATCTTAGGCATATAGAAAAGCTTTCCTCATCTTCCTGTAATGCCCTCTCCGATGTACCCACCAATACCCTTTAAACTCACTTTGATTTATGACTTTCTTTGTTCTATAAATCTACAAAAACTTCATGAAACTGCTTACACTTTGGAACATGGAATTTAAGGTAACCCAAATCTGTGTTCCCTGGCCATGGTTACTCAAAATGGCTCCAGAATAAACTATCTGTTGTTTGCTTTAAGATGAAAGCCGTGGGTTTTCTGTCAATGCTGCCCTGTGATGTTAAATTAGTGCCTGCTTTGTAGGAAGAAAAAAATCTGAGGCTAACTGTCCTATTGTGTGGCTCACTCTCAATCATCCTATGCTCCAAAGTGAGCAAGGCCAAAAAGAGAAAGCTCTGAAGGGCTTATACACATAAAGAAACTCTCCCGCCTTCAACTCTTTGGCTAGAGCTGGCTACATGGTTCTGACTAACTCCAACTTTGAAGTCATCAGGGAAGCATGTCCCGTCTTGTATTCTTATGGTAGATGTGATGGTTTGAATAAGAATGGGCCCCATAAGCTCATATATTTGAAAGACTGATCATTATTCATTAGGGAGTGGCATTACTTGAGAATGATTAGGAGCTATGACTCTGTTGGAGTACATTAGACCGTGTTGGAGAAAGTGTGTCACTGGAAATTGCCTTTGGAGTTTTAGAAACCCAAACCAGTCCTAGTGCCCTTCTCTCCCTGCTGCCTGCAGATTCAGATACACAACTCTCAATTACGTCTTGAGCACCATATCTGCCTGTGTGCCACCGTGCTCCCCACCACGATGAAAATGGACTAAAATTCTGAAACTGTAAGCAAGCCCTCGTTAACTGTTTTCTTTTATAAGATTTGCTGTGGTCATGGTGCCTCTTCACAGCAATAGAACACTCACTAAGAAAGTGGATAAATGTGAGTCACCCAGTACTCGTGACAACCACGAAAGGACACGTGCTGTCCTGTGGACAGGGTAGTCATGATCCCAAACAGTCCACATCTCTGTGACCATGGAACACTTGGGAAAAATTGTGAAATGGCTCTCCTGGGAAGGTAAGAGTTGAAGATATTTAGTTGTACAGAGGTGAGGTTGGACATGGGACAGAAAAGAGCCAAGGCACCAAAGATCTGAAGAGTCATAAAACAGCAGGAGAAGCCCACCATTTTGAAATATGAGAAAAAAGAGCAGAGGAAAGACAAAAAACTTTTTTTTTTAAAGTCATGAGTGGTGACTTCAGCTCTTGGTTAATATGTGGTAGACAAGGATTACTATTTCTTAATAAACCCTATATTCTTGGTCTTCTAAAATAGGTCAAATATTATTTATTTTATGAAACAAAGTTGAGGTTGCTTTAAATATAGAATTTAATCATGGACATTGAGAGGAGAGAGACATGTATAAAAAGGCAGTCATGCACATGTTACAATGAGCACCATCTTCTCATGAGACTGCTTCAAACACAACTGTGAAAAAGGAAAAAAAAATGAGCTGGATGTTTCAAGACTAGGAGAAATACCCCAGATACTTAACATAGAGGATCTATTTCTCCTTAAAATGCCCATCAGGACCATGTGTCATCCTGTAACTGGCATACTGGTAGCTCTGCCTGTCATCACAGATGCCAAGAAGTAGAGACAGGAATTCACTCTTCAAATTGTGTATTATGTAGAAATCTGAGAAGGCAGTGAATTAACACCCTGAAAAAAACCTACCTTCCAGCCCACCAGCCAGCAGATTATACAGGGAGAATTAGGAGGCTGGAGAAACAGAAGTGATTAGGCATCTTAGAGCTCAGTCTTGGCCCTCTGATCAGGGGATGCCTCTGAGACTTGTGATGTCTGTCTCTCGTTATCACCCTCCAAACTCTCCCCTCATTCCCTGCATGTGTGGGCTCAGGCACTTCTCTAATTAATGTATGCTAACATCAACTTGCACTCCTCCAGGGGCATATGGGATGGAGGAGGGTTAACTCAAAACAAACAAAGCATTTAAAGTGCCTGTGCTGAGCTATTAATGTGTGTGTGTGTGTGTGTGTGTGTGTGTGTGTGTGTGTGTGTGTGTATGTGTGTGTACACT